TTTCCAAATGGATTCATTTCAAATTCTATCCCTTATTGTCATGCCACTCATCCATCTAAACATCCTCATCTCCGCTACACTCATTATATGGGTATGCTGTTTTTTGATCACCCAACATTCCACCCCATAGAGCAAAGCTGGTTTCACAGTTGTTCAACAGAAATTGAACTTCAGCTTCATTGGTATGTGGCGATCACATAAAACTCCAGTTGCACATCTCCACTTCGCCCACCCAACTCTAATTTCGTGTGCGATATCTTCCTCAATCTCTCCATTTTCCTGGATGATCAACCCAAGATATCTAAAGTTCGGCCTTTTTGGTATTTCCTGACCGTCTATCTTAACCACTTCCTCATCTCTACACCTATTACATTTACTACTACACTTGGCTAGTTTTAAACCTTTTAGATTCTAGAGCATCCCTCCAAAGTTCTAACTTTGTGTTGATGTTGTTTCAGGTCTCATCAATCCAAACTATGTCATCTACGAACAACATGCACCACATTGCCTCATCCTTTAGATGCCTAGTTAAGCCGTCCATAACTAAGACAACGAGGGATGGGCTCAATGCTGACCCCAAATGTAGACCTATTGTTACCGAAAACTCACTCATCTCTCCATTAGTTGCTCGCACACTAGTTAGCGCTCTATCATACGTATCTCTCACTAAGTCGATATAGTGGCTGGAGGCTCCCATTCATATAAACAGTACAAACTCAAATATAAAGTTTAGTTTAAAAGTTTAAATTTTTAATGTTATGATTACTAAGATATGAAAAAAACTATAACTGTTAATAGGTGACAATAACAAAGACTAAGGTAATTAAGTTCAACTATAAAATCTTTATTAAAAGGAATTGGGACTCAAGACCAATATTAGAGGTCCTGCACAAGGATAATAATTTAACTGTTATATTAAAACATAAAACTTATTCAAAATAAAATGTAAATAGAGTTGAGAAGTTGTAGTTCAAGCTCAACGACTTTAACAAACAAGTTAAACCATGAGAGATCAAAACAAACCAAATTTGCTACGTTGGTTTTTGGGGTTAAGAATGTTCAGGAGTTGAAAAAAAGGCTAAGGAACCCCTCATGGCCTAAAAATAGGGCTAAAAGGGACCAAAGACCAAGACAATAGGCTTTGATAATTAAGAAACATGGGAACGAACCAAAAAAAAAGCCTAGACTTGTGGAATCTTGGAAGAGAAGGTAAGTACGTGATGAGGTTCAACAGAGTCTAACAATATTCACCCAACAAAGAATGAGTCTTTCTTTCCACGCCTTTATTCTAGGCAAGAAATACCTAAAAGACATAAATTTTGATATCTTGGGTTGATAATCCAGGAGAATGGAGAGATTGAGGAAAATACGCGCATTGAGTTAGAGATGGGTGGGCAAAGTGGAGATGTGCATCCGAAGTTTTATGCAATCGCCACATATACTAATAAAACTGAAGCGGAACGACTGTAAGACCAGCCATTCTTTATGGGACAGAATGTTGGGCAGCCAAGAAACAAGATATCCATTGGATGAGTGTAGTTGAGATGAGCATGTTGACATTGATGAATGGCAATACAAAAAAGGATAGAATGCAGAATAAATACATTTGATGAACTTAGGGGTTGCTCCAATAGGCGATAAGATGAGGGTAAGTATACTTAGGTGGGCTGGCCATGTGCAACATGAACTTAATACAGCACCGGTTAAGAGATATGATTTGGCTCAATGGAAGGCTCTAAAAAGGTAAGGGAAAGGCCCAAAAGACATGGATATACGTATTGAGATGATATATGACCACTTATGGTCTGATTGAGTGTACGGCCCTTGATAGAGCAGAATGGTGGAACAAGATTCACATATTTGACCCCAAATAGTTGGGATAGGCTCAAATGATGATAATGATGATGATGATTTATAACTTCACATGCACCTTTTTCAGGACTGCTAAATGCTTTAGGCAAAGGATGTACTGGATGTACTATATTTGTTCATGATCATTAGTTTGGTTTGGTAGACTAGTGTGATCTTTGGAATAGGAGATTGTTGAGATGGACTAATTGTTTTTCCTTTCATAGGATGTATAGAATATTTTGAACTTGTAATCTAGGAATGGTTATGATTATTTCAAGTTGGCCACGAGCAGAAGGCCTTACCTTCCAGTTGATGCTGATATGTTTTGAGAAGGCTTTGCAACCGAAAGTAAATCTCCCAATTCAAAATAAACGGGTCTTAAAATGGAGGATATTAGAATGTGGGATGTTGCCAAATCAATTGGAATAGCTAATAAAACCTTTACATCACCTACTTGTGCTCAACACTATGCATAAGGGCTCTACTGATGTGATTCGTGATTGAGTAGGCACAAACAAGTTGGCTAGAGGGGAAGTATGGTCACTTTTACCATTCTTAGGCGTATGTGGCTATCATCCCAATAAGTGTAAGTCCTTTTTAGCTCTGCGGGATACCTAGAATGAAAGGTAGCAATTTTGATAGGCTCCAAACTGATATTATGTTAAGTGGTAGGATATAAGACAGACGATCCATCTTCCAACGACATCTCGGTAGACATTTTGAGTTTCATTAACATAGGTAGATAAAGCCCATTTCCCAAGTTTTCTAGGATGTGGTGAAGTAGCATGATAAAAGGTGATAGGGCCCTAGATGAATTAGTCAGATCTCTAGAAAGGGATTGAATGAGGATTATTCATTGTGATTATTAAAAGGGTCAAGTGAACAGATAGAAGAAAGAAAAACAATTAGGCCAATCTTTGCAACATCAATGAGATATCAATTGCATAATTGGGAGTCTTTTCCCTTTCTTCTTCCCTCTTTTATTTTCACTTTTTTCTGTTTTCTGTCAAAAGATCCAAAAAGGCAAACCAAACCAAGACTCAGGTTACCCAAGTGGTAGTCATCTACAACGGCAGGGTGCCTATTCATAGTGAGTCAGTGATTGCAAGTCAGACTCATCGAGTTTCTAAACAGCCCAAGGTTTTGGAGGATGGAAGTCCTCCAAAATCTGTGTTTCAATAGATAGCTTATGAAATAAGCAGTCATCATTGATCATCTCCAATATAGAGGTTTCTGGCTAGCTAAAAGTGCAATGGGAAACCAACTTTTATACCAAGAGAATTACAAGCAGTCCATTTTCAAAGGCATATTTAGTTTCATTGACATTACATAGGTTACGCCCATCCTTTCCTTGGCTTCTTGCTGATTTCGGTCTGGGTGATACAAACAAAAAGGGTGGAAAGGTCCAACAGGATTTTCTATGAAGGAAAATGGAAATAAGGAATCCAACCAGTACCATCAAGAATGTCATCATGTGGTGGTGCTGAAAAAACAAAGAATGGCCACCACTAGAACAATAATTCTCCAAAACCCATGAACATCGGTCATTCACAATATTCGTCTAAAGCCGTAACTAGGAGCAATATGGAACTTCTAACCCCATCTCCAGAGCAATCTGAAGGCACTGGCTGTAACAACAAATACAAATATAAAAAAATCTATCTCCGACCAATTTGGGTGTGTGCATAAAGGGATGGTGAAATTCTAATGTGCCATTACGGGACCACTACGAGTTGTAGTCTCCACATTGGCTGACTCCACATTGGCTGAGATCAATGGAGCATTCACAAGGATCAGGAATGGTCAGTTTTCTGAGATCAAGAATTGTAAATCGGAATGCACTAGCTCAATCAGATGCATCAAAGGCACTGACTACTATAAGGAAACTCGAATGAAATTTGAAATGCTATTTATTATAGTACGAAGTTTCAATAAAGCCTCGGCTTTATGAAAACAAAATAAAGCGCCACCTCAAATTGTCGTCCGGAAAGCACTTTCAGTAACAAAAATCACCATGATAGCTCAAAAATCAATTTCCAACACCGACAATAAAATTTGAAATGCAAAAAATGTACAGATCTTGTGGATCTATGAACACTTAGTTTTAGGGCGAAATGGACGGTTTAGATAATTTGTTAGGGCAAAATGGTGGTTTAGATAATTTTTATAATATACGCTATTTTTAGAGCTTGAAATCCTAATTTTTCTTCACAAGCATGATGTTCAAGCCAAGATGATCGATGTAAAGGTTTTCCAATGCTTGAATTGCAAATTTCGACGAACCTCTACTTAGTTTGATAGGGATGCAGCCCTGTCAAACCATTTTCCTTCATTAAAGACATTTTGTAGTTTGAACAAATTCCTAGGACAACAGCACAATTGCGGATAACTGGGCGGCTATGGCGTAGGCATCAAATACAGGCCTAAACAACAAACGGTTTGAATTACCATGCCAGCTTAGGCCTGCTTACTTCTCCAAAAAGAACTTCGCTTTTGTAATTTTTCCGTTCAATGGATAGTTACCAGATACCAGCAAAGAAAAAACTTTGAAACAATTAGTAAGCAGAGAACTCTTTAACATTACTCCAAAAAGGGAAAAAAAATGTTCTTCCAACAAATGAGTGTCACAGCTTTTCAAACGTTATGATCCTACACAACAGCATTACAAAGTGTTCGAATTTTTCTGACAACTCCTCAAAGAACTGCATTTTTACAGCAAAACGGAAACTAAATAACGAAACCAGAAAAGCAAAGTAATCCATCCTAAAATCAGATCTGAGAAAATAATTACCATTGGATAAAAAAAAAGTTTTTCTTAAGAACCAGAAAGTGAACTAATACCACCATGCAGAAAAAATGGATTTAACTACCTGCCTTATAAAATCACATAAAACACAAATAAATCCCCATAAAAGAGACTGAAACCAACTACCCGTACCATAATGCCATTAAAAACACGCCATAAATCCCCAAATTTCACCTTTTAATAACCAAATACAGAACCCCAAAAACTGATTCCACCCATTAAAAACTCAGTTACGCACTAAAAAGTAAAAACCAAACCAACCAAACAAAACAAAACAAAAACACACACGCAAAACAAAAATCCAGATAAGTTATCCTAATGAGAAAAGACGAAAAGCACATACCCGAGTTCATATCGAACCCCTTATTGCTACCGCCAAATAAATACGGTAGAAGCTTTTCACATTGTCCATTAAATCCTTACTTTAGAGACTGTGGATCTTAATCAGGTTAAACCCAGGGATTTTTTATGGGTTGAAACGAGCAACATATCAAGGTAACAGGCTCCCTCGCTCACTCCTTCCCTTATTTGGAGGACAGTGTGTCCATGTTCCAGTCATATGGCGTGCTATATTGTCCCTAGTTTCTGAAATAAAATAAGAGGAAAAGAGGAAAAACTTTTTTTTTTTTTTCTCGCATTTTCAGATGAAAATAAAGGAAAATGAAAGAGGTCCACACTTCCATCCTCATAGAGAATGATGCCACCAGATATAGGCATTAAATTTTATGGGGTTTTAGGTATTTTCTTTTATAAAGGAAAATGATGTGATGCCCTTGACTTCTTTAGAAATGACCTAGAAAATGATTCCAACATTTTTATTTTTTTTCTTTTCTAGCATTGAACATTGCTTGGGATTGTCTATAAATAGATCTTTTAGCTTTAATACATCATGGTCACAATCCTTGTTGCCCCTTAAATTGCAAATAGGTGAGTGTAAAGTGTCATTTAATGAACACAAGTTCTTAAAAAAAAAATTTCATCATTATTGTTCTTTAAATTGCAATTAGGTAGGGGTAAGAGTGTCATTTAATTAATACAAAATTCAAAAAGAAATTATTTTTTAAACTTTGTGATTCACCCCAAATCAACTACATTAACATTTAATAACGGTTGGAGTCTTGACTAATCTTACTCAAGAATTGGCGAACCTAGTAAGACTCCCACCTATTATCCTACTAAGTTTGTGGAGATGAATGGTAATTTTAAGCATCCAAATGGTTATAATTTGTCTCTTGTAAAAATATACAATTGATGTAAGGCATGTTTGGATGACAGTTAATTTTATCTTGAATAAATTATCTTATTTAAAATTAATATACTCTAGATAATATTATTTTATTAGCTATTTGATACCTATCTTGTTCTATTTATATTGTTATTATTTAATTCGTTAACTTTGTTTTATAATTTTCGACTATTTTTTGTTCTTTCTTATAAAAGTGTGTGATTTTCATTAGATTATTTTGAACTAAAGAAAAACAATCTTTCAAATAATAAATCTATATGTAAAACTGTCTATAAATTTATCTTAGATAACTTTATCATGGGGGCTGTCAAGCAATAGATAGTTTATTATGGAGATTAACTTTATTAAAACAGTAAATTATTAGTGATAACGTGTATATCGAAACATGGTATAATGTTATACTAAAAAAAAAAAACTTCAATCCAATGATATAGGTGAATTGGATGTAGATGTTCCTTATGAAGTTCTTCCCTCTCATTCTAGTGACTGTGAATGATCTGGATTAGGAAACTGTCAGTTCCACCAACTGTTGGCCTGGACCATTTTCTTGCACATAAACAATGGATTAGATGCGGCCACCGCTGCATCTAAACACCAAAGTTTGGTGCATTAGAGTATTTCTCAATTATTAAGCAATAAAACTTGATGGGACCATCATAATATATATCGAATGTCCCTTTATCACTATCTAAAGCTGATACGACTATGATCTTGGGCTTGGAATTAAATAAAGCACTAGAGACCAAGTTCACCTCTCCTATCCAAAATTAAAAGCAAAGGAGCACTAAATCTACCATTTGTCTCCCCATTTGTATGCTGATCATTAGACTGAAACCACATCGTTGCCTTTAACTCATCAGGGGACCTCAATTCAACAGTCTGGATCGCTGATTTGCGGATCTGGTAGAAGCATGGATACAGCTAAAGATGAGAAAACAAATGAAAATCGATGGAATTCCATAAAATCGGATGCCCCAGTGGTTCTAGATCAAACCAAGCAATTCCAATTTGACCCTCCAATTTTTTATACCTAGATGGTACCTATATTATTTAATAGGTGTGGTTTGTATAAGGTTGCGACCTAAAACAATCCAAATGAGATGCACCTCCAAATTTTATCATAAGATATAATTTTGATGTCAAAAATTCTTAAGATGGCTTTATGATCCATTTTCATCTTCAAGTACAAAATTTAAACTCTAAAAATGGTTTAAATCAAATAGATCTATAAACACATGAAAATATTGAAAATTGACGGTCTAGATAATGTGTTACAAGATGCACTATTTTAGGGATTCGAAATCTTTATTTTTCACATATTCATATATCTTGATATCGAGATGATCAATTAGAGGGTTTTCTAACATCAAAACAATATTTTTCTCCTGGGGGATAATAAGACCCGTGCATGTTGGTGGGTTGATTTTTTTTGGATTAGAACACCAATTCATTCAAACCTGGCCTATCTATAGCCATTTGTGGCGTGAGTTTCAATCGGTAATGAGGCAGGACATCTCGTACGTCGTACCTATCTTCAGCAAACAAAGCTACGTTCTCATCGCAACTACAGAATTGTGATAGATAACATTTATTTGCCGGGGAAACCTTAAAATGTAGAATTACAAATGCACTTAAAAAATCTATTAGAAACGTTGTTTTAATATCAAAAAACCCTCTAATTGGTCATCTTGACATCGAGATGAATGAATATGAAAAAAAAAAAAAAATTTTAGTCTTAAAAATAGTGCATCTTGTAACACATTATTTAGACCGTACATTTTCAAGATTTACATATGTTTATAGATCTACTTGATTTTAACCATTTCTGAAGTTTAAAATTTTCTAATTAGATATAAAAATAGATTTTAAGATAATCCTAAGCTTCTTATACAACAAAATTACATGTTCTCATAAAATTTGGAAGTCCGACTTAATTGGATTATTTAAGATCGTAGAAACCGCTATAAATTTTTTTTTATTTTGGAGATAATAAACTAGATAGTGATGTCATTGTCCATATGTTTGGCTCCTTATAAAATATTTTCCTTGAAAATAAGATTCGAAATTTACCCTCCCATATTTCCCATATGTCTAAAACATTGCTCTTGTGAAATTGAATTCTAAAATTATGGGGAAAAAAAGAGGGGGCAAACAGTAATTTAAATTGTTGACACGCTGACCAGCTGTCTCGACCCTAATGATGGAGTGGCGTGACAATTTTTCAAATAATTTTCCTTTCTCATTAACTCATCATCCTTTCCACGTCACGTCAACTAAAGAATAGAAACAAAGTTAAAAATCGAACTCCTCTTCATTCATTTCTCTCGCTTTGTCAATTTGGTTGGATACTTTGCTATTTATCTTGGAGGTAATCTTTGCACAAAATAGTTCAAAGCTAGTATTGCCTCTCGATTTTGGGTGGAAATAATTAAAATTCCCTATTCTATGAGGACATGTGCTGCCAAAACTCGCCTTTCTAATTGTTTCTTTTTTTATGTGGCCTAAAATAAATAAGACCGGTCTTTTACAGAATCGATTGGTTTTATCAAAGAATCGTTCAGAACTGGCCAGTTCATAGAAGGCCTAACCGTCTCCCGATATTTAGCAAGATCCAGATGGCCTTGACAAATTCTCAATTTCAATAAACCAATACTAATTTTTAAAACTCTTGCTTCATTTCGGTGCTTCCAACATTATAATACGTAAGCATAGAGAAATTTACTCCGAGCAAATGGACTCCCTATTTTACAAAAATATTCACCTCCCGATTCACTTCTCTATATAAATGTGTATTGAAAATATTTCGAGAGGCAATTATAGCTGGAATTTGCAAACATATCGATCTTAAGAGACATGATATTTTCCTTGAGAAATTATTCTATTTTGCTATCTTTCTCTATCTCATTGGAATATTGTATTCTCACCCTTGAGTTTTTTGTCACTTCAAAACATGGTATGGAATTTATAAAGGCAAAAAATATTTAAAAGAACGACTGCTACAATGGTATTCTCCTTCCCCATTACTATAATTTTCTAGACAATTAATCAAATATACTTAAAATATTAATTATTTAATATTTTACCCATGCGTCATGTTTTAATTTTAGAATGCCGATCAAAATGCATATAATTTTGACTTGGAATAATAATAAAAGGGTAAAATATTAAAGGATGAGGGTTGTATAAGGCATAGACTTTATAAAAACAAAATAAAATATCACCTCATATCCTCGTCCCAAATGAACTTTTGGCGATAGAAATTTTCATGATTGCTCTAAAATAAATTTAAACACCAATAATAAAATACGAAAATCAAAAAATGGTATAGATTTTGCGGATCTATAAATACTTATTTTTAGGATAAAATGGACAGTCTGGATAATTTATTACAATAACTGTATTTTTAGAGCTTGAAATCTACTTTTTTTTCATGACCATAATGTTCAAGCCAAGATGATCGATGTAAAATGTTTTCTAATGCTTGAATTGTAATTTTCGAGGAGTTATAAAGTGAGACTTTACTTATTTTGATAGAGTTGGAGCCCTATCAAATCATTTTTCAAAATTAAATGGTTCAAAAAATGAAGTGTATTAGATTAATTTCTCTAATTTTTTTTCACTTTTTTTTCTTTATTTTTTCAGTTATTTTAGCTCTTCAAACTCCAAAAAGGAAGAAATTTGCCAAAAAAAAAAAAAAACTCGAATTTATTAATATTTCACATTTTTCGAGTTTTATCGCAAACAACCCCAGCACTAATAACTAAGGTAATAAATTAAACATTAAAAAAATCAAGAGAATAAATAATAATAATAAAACGACGAATAATATTGCCAAAAGATGAGGAGGTAGAAGCACGATCTCAACTAAGAAGACATTGCGGTACGGCGCCGGCTTTCGAAGTTGCAATTATTGTTGTCCACGTGGCAGTTGCTTAGGCGATGAGCAACCATCAAAGAAATGATTATTAATTCTTAACTAATTAATAAATAATATGAGTTAGTAGGTTTTAGGGTTTGTTGTTAATTGTCTGCACTTGAGTGGACTGCAATGGGAATCATTTGCGCGTGGCTTTTGAAACGCATAATGTAAATGAGCACATATAATATGCTCCCGAGGGAGCATAGTCTATCTCTACTCTCTCGGTCGGATGGGGAAGGAGTGTTTTCAATATGAGATTTTGGAAATCTAAGAATTCCTGCATAAATAATTCTAAAAGAAAATTTTGACATTTTGAGTTTTGTAATTCTTAGATCTTACTCTTCGTACAGTCTCTATTCAGGATTAAGACTTTTTGTGTTTTTAAGTGCGTAGAGGGGTGGAATTACGGAATGTTTTTATTAGAGCTAATTTATGCACTAAAGAGGTTATATCCCCAAAATTTGGGGTTTTAAAAT